TATTGTTCTGATATCCTACTTTTTCAAAAGATCTTTAATAGCAGATGTCAGCATTGGTCCTCTTTCATCTTTCTCTTTTTCAAAAGAAAACACATATCACTGAGTTTCTTGGTGTTCTTCATTTAAGAGTTTGTGGAGTTCTTCTGTCGTCAGATCAGTTTCAGGTTCCATTATGAGCTCTTCAATGTTCTTTATTTCTCAGATGTGATTTTCATTATTCCTTTAGCTGCTTGAGTCTTCTTGATGATATCTTTCTTAGCTAAAATTGTGCCTACTGTAGACCTGTTTAAGCCACACTGCTTAGCAACATTAGACATCTTCTGCCCTCTCTCTATCTTGGTTATTATACTCTTGCTTTTCAAAAATAAAAATGACACAAAACTTAACAAGTACTTGCCTGACAGTCTCACAAAGACTGTGAAAAAATTCTTTGTCAGAAAGGTAAACAAAAGGCTGGAAATTACAATGGAGTGTTTTGAAATTCGGAGGAATACTATCTGATCGGTATTGGTTGAGCGTCAATGTTGATGTCTCCCAAGCTCCAAAAGGTTTCAAACTGTCACCTGGAGACGAGAAGACCAATTGGTATTCATTATTTTACGTTGCTTCTTCTTGTAATTGCTCTGTGAGGTGTTCATTATCCGAACATGTTCGTTGTCTGAACATAAAAATTTTTTGTGAAAGTACAGGTAGGCCTCCTACAACGCGGTAGATACGTTCCTTGAAAATACCGTGTTGTGGGAAATCATGTTATAAGAGATACCAATTTAATACAAAAACTGGGATTCGGTTCTAAAAAGAGAAAAACTTGCTGTTTGAATGGCGTTTTTTGAATTTTTCAAACCAGTCATTGCTAGCCACGAATTTAACACTGGTTTCATCAGCCGACGACTGTCCCATTTGTTTTAAATAATCAAATATTTTTAAGGCTTTGTGTTTAACTGCACTTTTATTTAAAGGCAACCGTTTCTTGTTTATAACTTCTACCCATAATATTAGCACTTGTTCCATTTTTTTTTTTTTTTTCATTATAGGTGCTCTCGGACGAGCAACATTTTTCGCAAGAATAGATGATCCGGATGCGACTGAATTCCTAATCTTTTCTTCCTATTGCTTAATCGACCGAATAGTTGACTCATTTAAATTAAAATGCCTACCAATATCAGCTATCCGCTCTTGATTTTTAATTCGATCCAAAATTTCTATCTTTGTTTGAAGAGATATATTAATAAATT